AGGAGGAGGCTGAGGGGAGCCCTCATCCCTCTCTGCAGCTCCTGACAGGACATTGCAGAGAGGCTGGGGCTGGGCTCTGCTCACAGGGAATTGGTGACAGAACAAGAGGGAACGGCTGGAAACTGCAACAGGGGAGGGTCAGACTGGGCATCAGGAAAAAATGTTTCCTAGAAGGAGTGGTCAGAGAGTGGAATAGGCTGCCCAGGGAGGGGGGGAGTCCCCATCCCTGGGGGTGTTTAAGGGCTGTTTGGATTATCCATGTTTTGCAGCAGGACCTGTCTCTAATCACCCATCCCTGCAGCACCCAGCCCCGGGGGCAGCCAGCAGACACACAAACAAGCAGGGTAACTGCAGGAACAGCACCTGCCCAACACCACAATGGCAAGCACAGCAAGGCACAACTTGTGTTTTTAAAAACTCCCTTTGCCCATTTATATTTTTCAAATGTGCATAGATCAAACCTACCTGTGATTCTTATTAGCAGTGACTCATATCAGCTGCAGTGTCAGTTTACCTTAGTCTCAGAACTGAAGAAGCCTGGATGGTTTGTGTTGCAGTGTTATATTACAGAACTTGTATTTCATTTCCAGATATATATGCATCGCTTCCAACACAATGCATCAGCACTTCCCCACCTATTCTGAAACAGGAACTGTATTTCTCAAGAATCAGCAGATGCATGAGCTTTCACCACCTTTCATTCATCTCAGTCCTACAGAACAGTGCTTAACATCACACATGACACCAAGCAATGTGCTCAGAAGGAAAACAGGAAGGTGCTTCTGCCCAGAAGCAGTTCAAGATAGTTTCTGGGTACCAGAACCATGTATAACACTAAGAGAAAAACCTAACAGCAGCTTCCCCAAGACTTCTTGCTGTGCTCCCCACGTGTGGTGATGCAATATGCAGCTGAGCAGGGCTGGCAGATCAGCATATCACCAACTGGAGCAACTATTAATTGGCTCTTGTGTTATCAGCGTTTCAAGGACCCTTCAAAGTACAGTTGCTTTGAGGAGAAAATGAACCTGCTAGTTGGGCTTCTTTTTCCCCTCCTCTTCACCTTGACCAGAGTATTTTTAGCTGTATGGACAGACTTGCCAATACTTTCACCTTCAATTCTTTACAGGGAAATTTCTGACAATGCACAGCAATGAATGAACCATATCTATCCTGGGTCAAGAGAGACAGAAGGAAAAAAAACATGGGCAGAATCAAGTTCCCAAAAGACTTCTTCAATATTTTAGCTCCCCTTCTTTCCACAGCCTCCTCTACTCACACAGAGAACTTAGTAAATTTGTACCCGATTTCAGCAAGCCCAGAGTTTGGCCTGAGATTTTGCTTAACGAGATCAGCCAACACATTTGCTCTCAGACAGCTTGATCAAGCTACACACATGCCTTTGC